TTCATGCAGTAAACCCTTCGGCATCCGCGGAAACCCAGGACTGGGATCTTGATCCTAGGATCAATGAAGAGGACCATGTAGAACCAATTGAAGCCAAGATCTCTTTGCAAATAGGTTCATCACCATCTCAGGTGACTTACATCGGTGCCAGCACTCCCGAAAGAGACCGCTCCGCTTTAAGCAAGATAATCATCCGGAACCAAGATCTCTTTGCATGGGTACCGTCAGATATGCCTAGCATCAACCCACATTTCATGTACCACAAGCTCTCTGTTTGCGCCAACGCACGACCCATAGCTCAACGCAAACGAAAGATGGGGACCGACAGGAAACTAGCAGTCGAAGCCGAAGTAGCCAAGTTGATTGAGGCAAGATTCATTCGGGAAGTACAATATACGACATGGCTGGCAAATGTGGTCATGGTAAGGAAGCCGAACGGAAAATGGAGAATGTGTACTAACTACACTAATCTCAACAAAGCATGCCCCAAGGATGCTTATCCATTGCCAAACATTGACCGATTAGTTGACGGAGCATCAGGGCATAAATTCCTCACTTTTCTTGACGCGTACTCCGGATACAATCAAATACGCATGCACCCCGGCGATGAGGAAAAAACAGCTTTTGTTACCGATTCGGCCAATTATTGATATCAGGTGATGCCTTTCGGATTGAAGAACGTTGGAGCCACATATCAAAGGTTGATGAATAAGGTCTTTCGAAATCAAATTGGAAAAAATATGGAAGTATACGTCGACGATATGGTCGTCAAATCCGAATACCTTGATCGGCACCTATCTGACCTTGCAGAAGTATTTCAACAACTTCGTAGACATGATATGCGATTGAATCCAGAGAAGTGTGTATTCGGCGTTTCCGGGGTTAATTTTCGCGGCTTCATCCTATCAGCCAGAGGCATCGAAGCCAATCCTGACAAATGCCAAGCAATCGTCGGCATGAGAAGCCCCCAAAACCTTAAAGAGGTGCAACGGTTAGCCGGACGGCTCACATCCTTGTCAAGGATCCTGCCATGCCTAGCTGAAACGGCAAAGCCTATCATTAGGCTGTTAAAAAAGGTAAAGTTTGAATGGTCGGCCGATTGTGAAGAAGCATTTCAGATGTTAAAGCAACGCCTCAGATCCCCTCCAATCCTCTCAAAACCCGATCCTCAGGCAAACATAATTGTATACTTGTGTGTGTCGGACGAAGCAATCAGTGT